GGTCCACCATTTCAAACAAAAGAGGTTCAACTTTAAAAGGGAAACTGGGGTAATTGGGCCAAAACGTTGAAGGGCATTTTTGCAATTAACTTGTCTTCGATGAAAAAGGGGTTTAATCCCTTTAGATCMAAACGAACAAAGACTAAAGAAATAAATGGCAATGATGAGTGGGTTTAGGTGCTGACAAAGTACAAGAATAGTAGGAGAACACGAGCTGGCCAAGTAGAGGTGCAGGAGAACACAAGCTCATCAGTTCCAATCAAAAAGGAGAGGGAGCAACAACCCAAGAACATAGGAGAGAAGAGAGGTGAGCATTCAATTTTGATTTTCTTTCAAATGGTGAGGGAGAGTGGAGGTGGGGACTTACAAATGTGTATGGGACAAATGAAGAAGGGGCAAGGGGGAATTTTTGGAGGAACTGGAGGGGGCAAGGCAAGTTTGGGTGGTAGGAATACATTAATTAAATCCACTTTGGCCAATTTTCCTGTTTTTTTCTTGTCAGTGTTTAAGATACCAAGGGGAGTGAGTATAAGTATGGAAAAGCTGATGAGGGATCTCCTGTGGGAACCAAGAGAGGAGAAAAGAGATCATAGAATTAAAGATGGTTAGTAGAAGTAAGAGTGATAGTGGATTAGGCATAGGAAATATCCAAAAGAGGAATGAGGCTCTATTGGGAAAATGGTTATGGAGATTGAAAGTGGAGAGGGATAAGTTATGGGACAAGGTAACTATAAGCATTCAAGGGCAAGTGACTGACGATTGGGGTGTGGGAGTGTTGACTAGGACCACAAGAGCCTCACCTTGAAAATCTATTCATGCCATTCTACCATCCTTCTTGCTTTTATCAGGTATGAATTGTCCTCTAGTAACCTTGTGAAATTTTGAGAGCATGTTTGGGTGGGGGACTCACCTTTGAAAGAACAATTTCCTTCCTTGTATTCCCTCTCAATATTTAAAAACAAGCCTATTTCCACTTATTTGGTTCCTTCTAACTCAAATTATGGGTTTGAGTGGGATTTGGGTTTTAGAAAGGGTATCAGAGATTCTGAATTGAATAATATATCGACCTTGATTCAAGTTTTGGAAGGGGTGATATTAGATCCCTCAAGAGTGGATAACCGGATTTGAACTTTATCTCCCCCCGATGTCTTTTCTTGTACCTCGTTTTTTAGAGCATTAGTTCAACCCTTTGATGGCCTTGGGCAATATTTTCCAGTCAAGGAAGTTTGGGATAAACCGATTTCTCCCATGATTGGAGCCTTCTATTAGGAAACTTTCCTAGAAAAGTGCAACGCTTGTGATTTTCTCCAAAGAAAAAGACCTAATTGGTATTTATGCCTTAATTGGTGCATCCTTTGTAAGGCTAATGGTGAGAGTTGCTATCACTTATTAATCTCCCGCTTATCTCTTTCAATGATTTAGGATTGGTTTCTCTCTTTGTTTTGTTGCAGATAAACCCCCTACCAAATGTACAAAGCTTGTTTGCTTCCTTTTCTGTCAAGTGGTCAAGAGGGTAGAATATTGTGGAGATCTGCAACAGTTGCTATTTGTTGGATAATTTGGGAAGAAAGGTATCAAAGGATTTTCTCTGAAAAGGAAAGTAGAGATGCCATCGTTGAAACCATCCCTGTTAGGGTGGTTAATTGGGTGAAGTCTTTGGACTTGAGGGTATATCTACAAATGATCTGTTCAAGAACTAGAAAGAAGTGATTAAGTCAGCCCCTCTCAAAACCATGACTTTTTGTCCACTTTGGTCCCCACCAGATGTTGGTTTCACTAAGTTGAATTTTGTTAGAAGCAGTGAAGGTAGCCCAAGTCCTTCAGGTATAGAAATAATTTTAAAAGGATGCAAAAGGGAAAGTTATTGCTCTATTTTCAGGTCCTATTGGTGTAGGTGATTCTCTTAGAGCTGAGATCATGACGGTAATGGAAGGAATTAAAAGAGCAAAAGAGTTGAATATCAGAAAACTGATTGTTGAAGGTGACTCAAAGTTGGTCATGTTGTAATTTGCCAATGAAAAAAAGTTTAAGTGGCTGACCCAGGACTTGGAGATAAAGCTACAGTGGGTAAAGAGAACTGCTAATTCTTTTGCGGATACAAGGGAAAGTTTATTTTGGGTCATGTTGTAATTTGAACTCTTACTTGGGGAGGGTTAAGAGAGTTTACCTCTCCCCTTAGTATATTGTCGTTAGTTCTCATACAAATTAGTAGAAATGGTACATTCTTAAAAATATAAAGAAAAAAAAAAGAAAAGGCAAAATAATTTCCAGCAACTCTTCATGACCAATATGGAAAAAGAAATAAAAGGTAATTTCCATTTACTAACTTTTTTATCAATAACAGAAACTTTTATTAAAGAATTAATAGAAAAGTACAGAGGAAGAGCGGGAGAGGTAAAATCTCTTAACCCTCCCTGAGAGAAACAAAAAACAGAATTACAATACAGGCCAAAACATTTAATCCATTCCCACCCCTTGTTTAGCAAGAGCATCCGCAAAAGAGTTAGCATTTCTCTTAACCCATTGCAACTGAATCTCTATATACTGAGTTAGCCAATTGAACTTTCTTCTTTCGTTTGCAAACTTCCATAATCCATTTTCCCTTTTTGAAACCAACCTACAACAATTTTGAATCTCCTACAATTAACTTTCTGACATTCAATTCTTTAGCCTTCTTTAACCTTTCTGTTACTGCCACAACCTCGGCTCTAAGTGAATCCCCTTCTTTTGCCACTTACTGACTTTTTAATAAAAGTTCAGTTATTGATAGAAAAATATAGTTTCTAACTGTACATGGGTGTTACAATCACTTAGTATATTGCTGTTAATTCTTATACAAATTAGTAGAAATGATACATTCTTAAAAATATAAAAAAAAAAGAAAGAGCAAAATAATTTCCATCAACTCTTTATGACCAATAGGGAAAAAGAAATAAAAGGTAATTGCCACTTACTGACTTTCATGATCAGATGAAGAAGCAGTCCTTCCATTATCCCCAGATTTATATTCAAATGACAAGTAAGGTTTATTCCCATTAACATTCAGTGACTCTTGATGCTGCAATAAATGAAGCACATGCATTCCTTAAAAAGATGCATAAACTATTCCAATTAAATAGGATCATATTAAGAATAAATAAATAGTTGGTAGAGGAAGATAAACATCCAAAAAGCAAGGACTAGAGGTCATCTTTTCAAGTCCTTTTTGTCTCCTAGTGGAGGACTCTTCCCAATCCTACATCTCTTGGAATTTGGAAGTGGATCTGGAAATTCCAAGTTCCACCAGAGATGTCTTTTTATATGTAGGCTGCTGTTTTGGACAGGATTTTAACACCAGATTACTTCAGAAATAAAAGGATGGTTATTGATGACTTGTGCTGCTTATGCAAGGAGTTTGAGGAATCTATGAAACATCTTCTAATTAACCGCAAGATCCAACCCAGTTTTTTTTATGAATAAAGTAAGATCCAAGATCCAACATAGTTAACAATTGCTAACCCATAATTAGGGTTTCTTGGCATATATTATTCTTGTATATCATCATATCATTCTTTCATCATCATCATCAAGCCTTGCCCCAACTGTATATGGGTCAGCTACATGAATCCTGTTCTGCCATTCCATTCTTTAGAAAATTTTATTTCTTACCCATATGAGGTATGGTCTCATTTCCTACAGCCATTTGCCAACCAATTGATTATTCCAGAAGACCATCAGAGGTTGATTTCTTATTGGCAGGGATAGATTTAACAGAATATGCTGCCCACTATCATCTGTTGGTCTATACAGGAAAAAAAAAGCAGCAGGTTTTTAGCCCAAGATGTCTGCTACAAGGTTCATCATCAGCAAAGCTGGAAAGGACCCTCTCATTGATCTGCTATAGGAAGTTGCACCCCCCGCTTTTTAGTCTTGCATATGTTCAAATCTGTATCAGCTCGTGTTCTTGTCTCATTGAGGGAAACCCCGCCCTCCTTTTTAGCAATAAAAGTTCTGGTTATCAAAAAAAAAGTTTGGATAAGAGTGTGAAGAATCCTGTTGTACCTTATTACTATAGTCCTTATTGTACACTATCTTGTTAATTCTTTCTCTCTTATTTTCTCTTCTTTGCCCCACAAGGGCCTTTCTGTAAATATACATATTTCACATAAATATATTCTGACTCTCTAGGGTGGGGTTGATTGATTCTGTTTACACCCTAAACTTGTTGAGCTTGTACGAACTGAATGTGTGGCATAGTACCTTTATGTGAAGAATCCTGTTGTACCTTATTACTATAGTCCTTATTGTACACTATCTTGTTAATTCTTTCTCTCTTATTTTCTCTTCTTTGCCCGACAAGGGCCTTTCTGTAAATATACATATTTCACATAAATATATTCTGACTCTCTAGGGTGGGGTTGATTGATTCTGTTTACACCCTAAACTTGTTGAGCTTGTACGAACTGAATGTGTGGCATAGTATCAAAGCAGGTTACTCCATAGACTGTGTCTGCTCCATGTTCACTCATTAACCTCTCAAATCTTACTGGTTTCTGGATTCATTGACTGAAGCTAGGGTTGTTTCAGTCAACCCTAATCCTGGCTATCAGTCAACCCTAATCCTGGCTATCAGTCTGCTAGTTCAGCAAGGGAGACTTTCAGAGAATTCTTTGGGAAAACATCTGTTTGAAGGGAAACTATAACTGGTGTGTCACCCAGACCTGGTTTACCTACTCAGAAAATCTGATCGTGACTGGATACGTATTTGGGGAGTTCTGATCTCTCCTCTCTTGGATGGCAGTTTCTGTAAATCTGCACATCAGGTTGGTGAATCAGACTTTTCTGCTCAATCGGCTATCTATTTTTTTCTTGGAGCCCTAGCTTTGGTGTCACCCTAGGGTAATCTTACTCCATAAACTACTCAGTTGCATTTCGGTATCAGTTCTGGAGAGTATTTCTTTTCTCCCCAGTTCAACAGTCCTGAAACACTGCTGGCTTGAACTGTTACCACTGAGAACCTATCAGGTTGGATCTGTTTTGGCATTTTCTTTGAAGATACAGGAATATTATGCAAGGTTTCTTGACTTGTGGGCAGAATATGAATTAGTTCACATCAAGCCATCTAATTCAGCAGAGTGTTTTAAGTATCTATAGAAGCACTTTGAGAAGATGAAGGTGAACCATTTCCTCATGAAACTGACACCTAAATATGAAATTATTCGGCCCAATATTCTGAGTAGGGGTACACTACCAAATTGAGATTCTATGATGGGAGAATTGCTGAGAGAGGAGGCTAGACTTATGACTGCTGCAAATCTGGAAGGGAATCAACTTGAATCTGGGGCTGAGATAGTTTTTATTGCACAAGTGAGCAAGAAATCTGGTGGTAAGGGTATGCCTAAGACCCAAATACCCAATGTTATGAATGCAAAGGTTTTGGACATAATGCTTCACACTGCAAGAAGAAGAAATGTTTACACATACTGTAAGCAACATAGTCATATCATTCCAGATTGTCCTGTTCGTCCCTCCAAAGGTAGTATGAAGAAGAATCAGCCACAGGCTTACCAGGTATCTGAAGGACAGACGACTGATGTTCCCAGTGTCAAAGGTGAATCTTCTGACCCCATGAACAAGGAAGAGATACGAGAACTGGTATCCTCTGCTATCTCATCTGCATTTTCTGCTATTGCCTATCTGGTGAGTTCTCTGGTTATTGTTCCTCTTCCTCTCATGTTTAGATAATTAATTCTGGGGCTACCAATCATATGACTGGAGCCTACCTCGAACCATCAATTAAATCTTCAAAGACCCATCATAAGCATATTGTTATTACCAATGGTGAAAAACTGAATATCGTTGGGAGTAATGATTTGTGTTTGAAGCTCTCACCCTCGACTTCCCTTTCCCTTACCAAAACTTTCTTTGTTCCCAAATATACCACTAACCTTGTTTCAATTGGTCAATTGGTTGATGAAGGTCACATTCTTACCTTTTTCTTGGTTGTTTGATTCAGGACCAGTGCATTGGGAAGGTGAAAGGAAAGGAGCGTAGGTTGGGCCGCTTGTCTGCTCTAGAATTCGAGGGATCTGAATCAGCACAATCATCTGCTTATTTTAGTCCTTCATTGAATTCTAGTTTGGGTCAAAGAAATAACATTTGGGATTTATGGAATAAACGTTTGGATCACCTAAACTCTGAAAAACTTAAATTTTTGTTTGGCTATGGTTTCATTAGAAATAAAATTCCCTCCTTGCAAACATTTAATACATCTTGTGTTACTTGTTGTTCGAATAAAAGTCATACGTTGCCATTTCCTCACAAAGTTAAACATGCTACTTTACCTTTTGAAATTATACATAGTGATGTATGGACTTCCTCTATTGTTTCACAATTGAGATACAAGTATTTTGTAATGTTCATTGATGATTGCACCAGGTACACTTGGATGTACTTCCTCAAATACAAGTTAGAAGTTTTTCCAACCTTTCAGTTGTTTCATGCTATGGTCCGAGTTTGGTTTCAATCCAGTGTTCATATCCTATGCTCAGACTCAAGGAGAGAATACAATGATGGTGAATTTCTAGCCTACCAAAGAAATCTTGGAATACAAGTTCAACGGATTTTTCCAAACACTCCTCAGCAAAATGGTGTGGCAAAACGCAAGAATGGGCACATCCTCAATGTTGTGAGAACTCTTCTTCAAGAGTCACATGCACCATTTTCATTTTCGGTGGAGGCAGCTAGTATGGTTGTGTATCTAATTAATTGTGTTCATTTGTTATGGCTAACTTGTCTCCTCATCAAAAACTGTTTGGTTGTCCTCCTAATCTCTCCAACCTTCATGTTTTTGGGTGCTTATGTTGTGCGTCTTCGTTCTTGAGAATGTTCTAAAATCTCAGCTCAGTCCGTTATGTGTGCCTTTGCGGGGTATAGTCCCAACTCCCAACCACAAAGGACTTCTTTGCTACGATCCTTCTGCCCATCGCATCTGTATTTCTCAAAATGTCATTTTGATTGAGCATATTTCCTTGTTTTCAAGAGTAGCCAAGTTATTTGTACCTTCTGTTTCTGTTTTGTAAGACTTTGATTCATAGGATGCTCTGCCTTCAATGACTATAAAGGATCTTCTCGTCTTCGCTCACAAGTGAGTCATAATTCAGCACCTATGCCTACGACCCTCCTTCTTCCCGGTCCAGATCCTCAGCCTGCCACCAATAACCCCGTAAGTGGTACCCCTGTTTCAGATTCTTCTATTGTTCCATCTGTCCCTTTGTGACATTCTACTCATGTTTCTAGACCCCCTAATTGCTATGGTTTCACTTCAAACCATAGTTCCTTTTCTATTATCTTGTCTTCCACAGATACTCCTCGTTCTTACCAACAGGTCATTAGTGGTCCCCACTGGAAAGATGCCATGGATGCAAAGGTTCAAGCCTTGCATGAGAATGACAATTGGGACCTTGTCCTAGCTCCTTCTAATGGCTCTCTTATTGGAAGCAAGTGTGTTTATTCAATCAAGTTGAAATCTAATGGCTCCTTAGATCGATATAAAGCATGTCTTGTGGCTTAGGGTTATACACAAGAGTATGGCATTGATTATGAGGATACATTCACTCCGGTTGCCAAGATCACTATAGTTCGTTTTCTTTTAGCCCTCTCTACTGTGCACTCTTGGCCTATCTACCAATTGGATGTGAAAAATGTCTTTCTACATGGACATTTAGGCTATGTTTGGTTTGAAGGAAAAGGTAGGGAAAGGAAGGGAAAGACAGGGAAACCAACACAAGGTTTGTAAAGGTTTCCCTACCTTTCCCTACATTTTCCCTTAAACCAAACATAACATTAAAGAAACAGTATACATGAAACCCCCTCCAGGGTACTATAGTGATCCATCTCTTGTTTGTCGCTTGAAGAAATCTCTCTATAGGCTGAAGCCGAGTATAGTCAGAGTAATTCTAATCATTCTCTCTTTGTTCAGAAAAGGCCACAGGGTATTACAATTCTCCTCTTGTATGTGGAAGACATGTTGTTGATTAGAGATAATGTACAAGGAATCACAGGGTATTACAATTCTCCTCTTGTATGTGGAAGACATGTTGTTGATTAGAGATAATGTACAAGGAATTCAAGATTTTAAGTCTCTTCTTCACAGACCCTTTCACATGAAGGACTTGGGTTCTCTCACCTATTTCTTAGGACTTGAAGTCCAAAGAAATAATCGGCAATATTTCATTTGCCAACACAAATATGCTTCAAATATAGTCAAGTTGGTCGGCCTTACTGATAATAAGCAGGTTGATACTCCCTTGGAGCTGAATGTTAAATTGTCCAAGTCAAAAGGTCCCTTACTCATTGATGCCACCATCTATCCTCAACTTGTGGTGTCCCTTATCTATCTTACTATGACTCAACCTAACATCTCTCACACGGTCCAAGTTGTCAACCAATTTGTCTCTACTACATCGGATTATCCTCTATGTTTGTGGCACTTTATCACATGGACTATTCTTCTCCTCATCCTCTCCTATCCATTTGAGAGCCCATGTTTATGCTGATTGGGCAGGTTGTCCCAACACTCGTCGCTCCACTAATGGGTGGTGTGTTTTCATGGGTGATTCTTTTATCTCATGGAAATGCAAGAGACAACAAACTGTCTCCAAGTCCTCCACAGAAGCTGAATACAAGGCAATGTCATCGCTACTTAAAGACCTTGGTCATCCTATCTCTATACCTATCCCTCTACATGCAGATAACACCAGTGCTATAAAGGTTGCTTCTAACCCCGTCTTTCATGAAAGGACAAAGCACATTGAGGTGGATTGCCACTTTATTTGAGACTTGTTTCTTACTAGCTCTATCTCTCTTCTTCATATGGCCTCAAATATGCAGATTGCTGACATATTCACCAAGGCCATGACGAGATCCAAACATCTATTTCTTATGGGCAAACTGATGCTAATGCACTCACATCAATTTGAGGGGGAGTGTGAAGAATCCTAATGTTGTACCTTATTACTGTAGTCCTTGTTGTACACTATCTTGTTAATTCTTTCTCTCATATTTTCTCTTCTTTGCCCCACAAGGGCCTTTCTATAAATATACATATTTCATATAAATATATTCTGATTCTCTAGGGTGGGGTTGAAGGTCGATTGATTCTGTTTTCACCCTAAACTTTTTGAGCTCTCTTGTATGAACTGAATGTGTGACAAAGAGTACGGGAGACCAAAAAAATAAATATCCACATGACAGCTCTAGATCGTTGTTTAGAAGAAAATGGTAAAGGAATACTAATTTCAAAAGACTTATTGAGGAAAGTTAATTGGCTCACAAAGAGCATGACTGTTACCTCTCTTTGGGTGGGAAGATCAGCAAATACCTTAGTGGATGGGTTGGCTAAGCAAGGGGCTTCAAGGGAACATTTATTTTGGGCTGCACTGTAATTTTTATTCCTATTTTAACTTGATGTAATACTTTGGTAGGAGAGGTAACAGCTCGTGCCTCTCCATGGGTTTCCTGTAATGCCTTAATTCTCTGGTTTAATAAAATTATCTTCATTTATCAAAAAAAAAATAGAAATACTAATTTCAGAAGTGAACAGTAAAAGTACAAATATAAAATCTTTTATTGTCACCCACTGATTAGGGCTTTACTATAATACTAAGATGTCATGAACAATCAAATACAACTCAAGATGTCATAAAAACAGGCAATATTAGAAAAGGTAGTGAACCTGATCGATAATGAACTCAATTTTTTCCTTCCAGATCAGTGCTTCCTGGATGTTGAATGCTGCCATCTAGAACAAAAAACAAATCCAGCAATAAGAAGGGGGAACTCCATTGGTGAAAGACAATTCTAATGGTACAGTTACAGACAAGTGATCACCTCCAACAAACTGGAAAATAATGTTAGCATATCTTGTTAGTACTTAATACCTTAAATCAGTGTTTAGAAAGCATTCTATGTGCACATGTTGAAGCTCACTTTTATGTGGGGCATTAGTGCTAGTTGATGCAAAAGGAAAAAATGAAACTATGGAGAGGAAAAACAAGTCCCCCATCATTTTTCCTTTAATTGCAGCAGTCTTTTCTTTTTGTGAGTGTTATTTTTCTCAATTTGTGCATGTCATCCTGGCACAGTAACTGTTTAAAAGTTTATTTATAATGAGTAACAAAATTATATAAATCTGTACAATGCTGGTTTCCTATATATGTGGGTAGCCTCAGTTAACCACCCTTAAGTCCTCAATAACAAATCACCCCTTTGGGGTATTAGACACTAGAACATCTGAATTCCTGTTGCTTCTTGTTTTGCCAGACCATCTACTAGGCCATTTGCAGATCAAGGAGCCCACTTAATGCTAACTCTCATATCCTTCTTGAGGTCTTTAATCTCTCTGTTGAGAGTTCAGGGGTATTTTAGTCATTTTAACCTTATCCAAATTATATAATTACTTGGAAGTGTTAGGGGCCTTTTTGTGATTGATGCTTATTATCATATGTATTTTTTTATCAATAACAGAAACATTTCATTAGATAATTAAGAATAAGTACAAGGGCAGGGAGAGAGAAACTCTCTTAACTCCCCCAAAAAACAAAAAGAAAATTACAGAACAGCCCAAAAAACTGATCCCTTCCCACCCCTTGTCTGGCTAGTGAATCGCCAAATGAATTAGCACTCCTCTTAACCCACTGCAATCTCATTTCCATACCTTGAGTCAGCCATTTGAAGAATCTCCGTTCATTAAGATAAGGCCACATACCCTCATCGTCCTTCCCTAACCAACCTATCACCAGTTTTGAGTCTCCTCCGATGAAGAATCTATTAATATTTAATCCCTTAGCCCTTTTTGCACCCTCCATCACAGCCATAACCCCAACCCAGAGTGAGTCCCCAAATCTAATCGAGCCTGAATACATAGCAATGACTACACCTTCCTCTGTCCTGAGAACTCCACCAATCCCTGAGAGAAAAGGGTTGTCCTCACTACTGCCATCAAAAATTCAGCTTAATGACACCAGAACATGGCAGATTCCATGAAGGAAGAGAGACATTTCTACTTGGGGCTGAATCTGCCACTTCTTAGCAACTATTCAGCAGAACCACTGTGGGAATATCATCAGTAGATCACTAATTGCAGATTTAGTCAAGTTTCTTGTGAAGGAAAGAGGGGGAAGATGAAGATTTCAGCAGTAGAGAAGAAAGGAGAAGAAGAAGAGAGTAGGAAGTC